AATTTTTAGGTATTCTTCACTCAACTTTGGTAATTCATATGTATCTAGGAATCTGTCCATTTCTTCTGTGTTTTCCATCTTAAGGGCATATAGTTTCTCAAAGTAGGTATTGATGATCCTCTGGATTTCTGCTGAGTCTGTTGTAATTTCACCCTTTTCATTCTTAATTGCATAGATCTGGGTCTTTTCTTTCCTTTTTTTCATAAGATTGGCTAAGGGTTTGTCAATTTTGTTATTCTTTTGAAGAACCAACTCTGTGCTTCATTGGTTTGTTTGTATCATTCTCTTAGTCTCCATTGCATCGATTTCTGCTCTGATCTTTATAATTTCCTCCCTTGTATGAGCTTTGGGTTTGTCCTCCTCTTCTTTTTCTAGTAGCTTGAGGTTCAACATCAGGTTGTTTATTTGAGCTGACTCTGTTTTCCTAATATGAGTATTCAGTGCTATGAGTTTCCCTCTTAAGACTGCTTTCATTGTGTCCCATAGATTCCGGTATGTTGCATTGTCATTGTCATTTAATTGTAAAAACTATCTGATTTCTTCTTTAATTTCCTCTGTGACCCATTGGTTATTTAGAAGTGTGTTGTTCAATTTCCATGTGTTTATGAAGGTCTGGTGGTTTCTTTTCCTATTGATCTCCAATTTCATCACACTATGGTCTGATAATATACAGGGGATAACTTCAATTTCTTTGGACTTACTTAAACATGTTCTATGAGCAAGTATGTGGTCTATTTTGGAGAACAACCCATGTGCAGCTGAAAAGAATGTGTATTCTGCTTTTATGGGGTGGAACACTCTGTAAATGTCTGTTAAGTTCATTTGTTTAAGAGTTCATTTGAGTTCTAGTATTTCATTGCTTATTTTTTGTCTAGTTGATCTATTTCTGACAGTGGGGTATTGAGGTCCCCCACTACTATTGTATTAGTGCTTATTTGATTTTTCATGTCTATTAATATTTGTTTTATATAGTTGGGCGCATTAGTGTTTGTTGCATATATATTTATGATTGTCATCTTATCCTGTTGGACTTTTCCCTTTTCAAGGATGTAGTGGTCTTCTTTGTCTCTCTTAATCAGTGTTGGTTTGAAATTCATTTGATCTGCAAATAGGAAAGCTACCTCTGCTTTTTGGGGGGTTCCTGTCACATGGAGTAATGTTTTTCCATACTTGATCTTCCAGTCTATGAATTTCTTTTTGAGTTAAGTGTTTCTTGAATGCTGTATATTGTTGGATCTTGCTTCTTGACCCATTCTGTCTGTCTATTTCTTTTGATTGGTGAATCGAGACCATTAATATTAATGGGGCTGGGGATTTAGCTCAGTGGTTCTGCCGCCTGCTTCACAAGTGCAAGGACCTGAGTTCGATCCTCGGTACCAAAAAGAAAAAAGAAAAAAACATTAATGGTTATAACTGATATGTATTGACTTATCCTTCTACCCCTTTGCATTTAATTTCTTGTGCCTGATGACCTCATTCTGCTGGGCTTCCTGGGGTTGTGATCCTTATTGTCATTTCCTAGAATATTGTTCAAAATTTTTTGGAGTGCTGGCTTGGTATTCATGAAGTTCCTCAGGTTCTCTTTTTCATGAAAGGATCTTATTTCTCCATCAGTTTTGAAAGATAGTTTTGCAGGGTACCTTAATCTGGGTTGGAGTTTGTTTTCTTTTAGGGCTTAAAGTACTTCACTCAAGACTCTTCTTGCCTTGAGGGTCTGTGTTGAGAAATCTTCTGTGATTCTGATGGGCTTTCCGTGGTATGTGATTTGTTTCTTTTCTTTGACTGCTTGTAGAATTTTGTTCTTCTGTTGGGTTTCTGGAATCTTAACTATTATATGCCTAGGTGTAGACTTTTTTTTGATCATGGCTAGCTGGAGTCCTATATGCCTCACTTATCTGTATGTGAAGTTCTTTTCCCCTGCTTGGGAAGTTTTCTGCCATCACTTCTGTGAACAGTTTTTTAATGTCATTTGCACTCTCTCCTGTTTCTTCATTTACTCTGATCAGTCTTATGTTTTTCTTCTTTGCATCATCTAGTATCTGCTGGATTTATTTCTCATCGTTTCTTACTATTTTTAAGAAAGCTTTCATTTCCTGGTCACTAATTGCGATCCTATCTTCTATATCTGATGTTCTGTCCTTATATGGGCTCATTCTGCTGCATAAACTTTCAGTAGAGTTTTTAATCTCCTGGATATCTGTTTGCATCTGTTTTATAGATTCCATTTGTTTCCTATGTTGGGATTCCATCATGTTCCTCAGCTCCTGTATTTTTTAAAATCTGTGTCTGCTCTAGAGTTATTAATCATATCTTTCACTATGGATCCAATCTCTGTTTTTATCTGAGAAATTATTTCTGATTTCATTTTTTCCAGATCCTCTTTCATTGCCAGTTCAGGTAGAGTATCAGATTGTTCCATCTCACTGTCTCTTGGGGTTGCCTTAAGTGATCTGGAAGTCTGGTTTTGAGACTTGTTTACATGTCTTATTTCAACAGATGCAGGGTGCTGTGCCATTGTTGAGGTGATTTTTTTTTTTTTTGTCCCATTGGGCTTCAATTCTCAGAGAGGCCTTTTCTCTGGTGCTCACCACTGCGCCCATGCCTGGGTTCAGAATGGTGGACTTCTGGATCCCTGCCCTGCTCTATTATCTGGGCAGGGTTCTGGCTGGGGCCTGCAAACACTTGAGATGGTATCTGGGCATGCCTCTGGCTGGGGTCTTCCCACCTGTATAGCTGTTGTCTGGGAAGGCCTTTGGCTGGTTGCTGTGCATCTGAGTCTCTGGGGTCTGAGCAGGCTTCTGGCTAGGGGTCTATGTGCACTTATGGATGGTATCTAGGTGGGACTCTGGCTGTTGTCTATGCCCCTAGGCAGCTCTTTTCCATGTGGGACTTTGGCTGGGGACTGTGGGCCCAAGCTGCTGATGTCTAGGCAGGGCCCTGGCTGGGATCTGAACACACCTGTGCCACTCTTGTCCATGTGGGCTACTCACTGGAATCAGTAAGGTGGTATTTTATTAAGAGAGCTTTGTTCTGACAACTACATATAAGAATTACAAATAATATCTGAATGACTTCTCACAAATAAGTTACTCTAAAATACAGCCCTCTATAAGTGATATATCAAATTGTTTTCCAAGAAGGCGAGTAGCAGTAAATTACTTAATCTTTTTGAAATATATAAATATTTTTGAAATATATAAATATTTGAAACATAGAAATATGATTGTGCTGCATGATATATTTTAGTATGTATATATTTCTTTTATTTCAGCAAATATGCATTATCCAAGCTAATGTTGAGGTTCCTACAATTGAGTCCCTTAATTTTCCTTTGGATTTTAGTTCCTAATGCTAATCTTTCTTACTAGTATCAGCAATAACTGCCAGAGATGGACTTTGAAAGGTGAAGAAAATTATCCCTTAAGTTATAGGAGTTCCATTCTGCTTTCTTTTTTTGGTACCGGAATCAAACTTGGGACCTTATGCTTGCGAGGCAGGCGGCAGAACCACGGTGCTAAATTCCCAGCCCTCCATTCTACCTATTTTAACCAGAAAGAAAAATTTCTAGGTCCATGAACTAATGGAAACAACACAGTCTGAGTAAGCCCTCGGATTGAATTTCAGCTCTTTGATTTTTTAAGTGTGTGACCTTTAACCAGTCCCTGTATCTCTTAAGCCTCATTTTTTTTTTAGTCTATAAAATGGGAATAATAATGTCTATCTTACAGAATTGTAATGGGGAGTAAATTAAGATAATGTATAAGTAGTGCAATAATAGTGCCCAATAAAATCTCTTTGCTTTTTTCCCTTTGTCACCCTTTGGGGACAGCTTTTTTGAGAGCTGCACTGGGGTAATCTATAGAGTAAAGGAGAGAAATAAATGGGCTATAATTTTACAGTTGGAGCAGTTGAAAATTTTTATTTACTTAAAATCGAATGTCCCCAAGCATGGTGGCACATGGCCTGTGATCCCACCCAGCATGTTGGGAGGCTGCAGCCAGAGGATTACAAGTTGACTCCAGGCTGAAAAACTTGCCTATGTAGCAAGACTGTCTCAAAAGTAAAAAGTAAAAAGAGCTTAGGGTATAGCTGTGTGAAGGCCCTAGGTTCAATCACTAGTACTGCCAAATAATAATTATAATAGTTGAATATCAAAACAGACTAGATTGTCTACTGATTTTCAGAAGCTGAGTTTTTAATTTATCAATTTAGACAGATTCTGCTATATGTCATTTACTTTCTAGCAACAAACTTTGACATTTAAATACTCTCAAAATTTTTTCTTCCAAAACTACATGTTATCAGCTTGATAATTTTTCTTGTATCAGGACTCTAGGGCTCTAGAATAGACCAACCAAATTAGCATTGGCCATACCACATTCCTTAAGCCACATTCAAAGCACAATAAAAATTTAAATGCTGCATCATTTTAGGAGAGTTTTTAAGACAGTCACAGATTATGTAGGATTCTTTCATATAGTTCACATTGTATTTGATTCTTATTTTATACTGCATATAAATATAAATAAGAATCTTATTAGGGAAATATTTTTAAATTTATGGAAGAGGCTGATGGGGTGGTGCATGCCTGTGATCCCAGCATTCAGGAGGCTGAGGCAGGAGACTATAAATTGGAGGACAGCCTGGGTTACATAGTGAGTTCAAGGCCAATCTGAACTACATAAGGAGACCCTGTGTCAAAAACAAAACAAAATAAAAATGTATAGAAGAAACTCTCAAATTAACTTGCAGCTTCCATATATTTCTTTTTTTTTCTTCCATATGTTTCTAAGAGATGAGAAACATACCCTAGTACAAATATTTAAACATTACCAGGTATTGCCACATCCCCCACTCCACATCAACCATTAGGAGAGTTGCGTTTTCCCATTCTAAAGTAGCCAAACATTTTGATTACAAATTTTAAATTTTAGATATAGGTCACAAAGCTTTCTAAAAATATATTTTTCAACTGAAGTTAAGTTTTACCTTATTATCAGATTCAGAAGAAGATGTTGTTGAAACTCCTGCAGTATCCCATGATGAACACACACACCAAGAGATAAAGGGCCAAAAAACACTAGCAACTCCTGCAGTCCGTCGCCTGGCTATGGAAAACAATGTAAGTTTGGTTGATACTTAAATTTAAGATTGCATAGAAAGTATAACTTTGTATCTCTGAAAAAGTAGTCAACTATCCTGTGATGAAATGGCCCAAATTGGCATTAACAAAAATATATAAAACATCTATTAGTGAAAAGTGATAGTGGCATAAAAGCACTTGGGAGAAGTGAGAAGACATTATGAACTTGTTATTAGTTTAACATTAAGTAAGCATGTTATTTCATTCTTTCTTAGAGTCAAGTAATAGTCAGAGGTACTATTTATTTAGAGTTTGTAAACACCAGTGTCATAGGTCAGGTAACCTGGAACACAATGAGACAAGAATTTAGCTCCCTGTGATTCATTTGTGGAAGTGAACCCCTGTTCAGGAAATGAGAGAAGCAGGTTGGGAAATGAAAGAGAAGAGAAGTGGCTCTGGCATGAATGTGATATCAAAGATCTGCCCTGATCCTAGGTGAATAGGGAGAATCACAGAGCTGTACTGCTTTGAGGCAAGGAGCCCAATCATTTGTATTCCCTTTGTCACTCAGTGTTAGCTTCCTGTTACTGTAATAAAATACCTAAGCAAACCAGTTTATAAAGAGAACATGTTTATTCTGGGTCATAGTTTCAGAGGTTTCAATCCATGACCAATTAACCATTTGGATCTGTGATAGCACATTACAGTAGTATATAGCAGAGGAGGTGTCTTTACCCCATGGTAAGGAATTAAAAGAGAAAGAGGAAGAGACCAGAATCCCACAATTACTTTTGAGAGAACATTCACAGTAACCACAGAACCTCCTGCTAGGACCTACTTCACAAAGTTTTCACCAACTCATGATAATGCCAAACTGAGTTTTAGGCTTTTGACACACAGGGGCATTCCAGATTCAAACCATAGCACAGTTGTTAACTGAATGGAGCCAAGCAAGATGGCTCCATGACACTGTGGTAAGTAAGTACTTATGTATCATTTCATTTAACCCAGTAAGATATAGAGATATTCTAAGATTTGCAGAATTAAAGTAATGTGTTTGAGGATACAGCAGTGGAGCCAGAATTTTACAGTGAGTCAAGCCAGGCATGGTGGCACATGCCTGTAACCCCAGCACTTGGGAGGCTGAGGCAGGAGGATTTCCAGGAGTTCAAGGCCAGCCTCGGCTACATAATGAGTTCAAGACCAGCCTGAACTATATAGCAAAACCCCAACTCAAAAAACAAACAAATAAACAAAAAATAAATAACAAAAAAGAATTTATCAGTGAGTCTATGTCACGTCAAAGACAATTTTCTCGGTCATTATATACTTCCTCAACAATCATTGCCTCTGTTATTTGACCAATTCTCACAACCCCACAGTCAGAGTGGTTTTGGATTATTTCCATTTTACTGATGAGAAAGGTCAGTGTGATGATTAAGCTTAATTGTCAACCTGATTGGCTCCTTTAAATTGCAGGTGTTAGGTATTTGCTTGCAGTGACAAGAAAACTGGGTAATATAGAAAACTGATACCAAGAAGGAGCTATTGCTGTGAATGTACCTGCCCATGAGGTTTGGAAATCTTTGGAACTGCTTTAGGAGAGGAGTTTGGAAAAGGTTGGAAATTAGCCTGGAGAAAGCCTAGAAGGCTATAATCAAAGCTTGATGTGTGATTCTGGTCAGGACTTAGAGAACTAGAATGCTGATAGGAATGAGGACAGTGAAGGCCAGACTCAGGAGGTTTAAGTTGGGAATAAAGACTCTATTGGCAATTCAACCAGAGGTCATATGTGTTATACTTTGGCAAAAATTTTGTCTACATTTTGCCCATATCCTAAGACCTTGTAGGAGACTGATATTAAGGGTGGTGAGCTAATTGATCAGGCTGAAGAAATTTAAGGGCAATGTTGAGGCTGTAGCATGAGTACTGCTGGCTGCTTTTAGTCAGACTTATAGTGAGAATCAGCAGCAAAAGCACAGCAGAAAATTTTGAAAAGAAATCATTAAATTTTATCTGAAAAAGAACCACATATGAAGTTGGTGCCAAAGAAGGTATAGATGTTGAAGAGATTAACAACAAGAAAAAGAACCAAGACCTACTAAAGTGCTAGCTGAGGGCCAAGGGAAAACAAAATTAGGTAATAGAAGATGGTAGTTATAAATACAGTGATTCCTTGGTTCACAAATTTAATTTATTCCATAATTCTGGAAAAGATGGCCATGCTCGTGTTCATGCAAGAAAGATAGCTATGGTCATGTTTGTCACCTGATGCAGTCTGCAAACAGAAACAAAATTTTGCCAAATGCTTCTTTTTGTGAACCAAACTGTTCATAAACAAAAGTGTTCATGAACCAAGATACCACTGTACCAGCTCCAATTGATGTGACTAATGATAAAAATGAAGATTGTAATTGTCATGAATATTTCTTTCTTATTTTGTTCATGTCCTTGTGCATATATACACATATACTAAGTAGATATCTTTGTATTTCTACACCATGTAACATAGCATTGATTGACTTAATATAGGTACTTAATATATTGTTAAATCTGCATTATAAGTTATGTGATGTCAGGAGAAGGGTTACCAAAAGAAAAACTTTACCTTCTAGTCTAGGTAAGAAATTAGTGCATTTTTGGTTGTAGACAAGATATCTATGTCTTGTTAGGTACAATTATTGACTTGGTATTGTGTTCATTTGGAGATTAAGAATGGTTTTTGGAGCTGTGTTTGGATGTCAGGTTGACAAGGGGTGGTTGTGATGGTTAAGCTAAAGTGTCGATTGGTGTGGGAGCTGCCTAGGAATCTATTAAAGACACTTCTGAGTTTATCTGGGTGTGTCATACAGACATAATCATATCTGTTCCATGGCCATTACCTGTTTGCCACTGTTCCCCTGCCCTGCTTCCCAACCACCATGAACTAAGCAGCATTGTTCTGCCATCCATTTCTGCCATAATGTTCTCGCCTTGGACTGAATCTTCTGAAACCATGAGCCAAAAAAGTCTCTCCTTTAAGTTGTGGGTGTTGAGTATTTGGTTCCCTTGATGAGAAGCTGACTAATATAATCCAGGGAAGTTGATTAACTGGTATAAAGTCAAGTGAATAACCAAACTGGGGATTTGAACACAAATCTGCTTGGTTCCAAAGCCCGAGTTCTTTCCACTGTGCCCCAAAATGCAGACTTTTTGTCTGTCTTTGAGAAAAGTAGTTGTTATAGTGGGAAAAAAAGTGTACATTTCTGAAACCCATAATAGACTCATTAAAATTTTTGTATCCATTCAGGAAGTTACCTTGTCTTTGGTATACTAGCCCAAGAAAATAACCTACATTATATTCTTCCATATATTTTTTGTTTGTTTTTGCTGTACTGGGGATTGTTAGGCAAGTTGCTATACCACATCCTCAGCTGTTTTATTTCTTATTTTGGGACAAGTTCTCACTGTGTTACTCAGGTTGACCTGAAACTTGTGATCCTCCTGCCTCAGCCTACTGAGTAGCAAAAACTATAGGTGTTCACCACTATGCCTGGCTCTTATGTTTTATATAGCCAAAAATTAGGTTCATGTATGTACAAAATCAGGGAAAAGTTTATGTAAATTATGCTTTATATCCTTAATGAAATTTTATGTATCATTAAATGCACCAAATATGAAGACCAAGCTAGGCACAGACTTTAAACTATTTCATGTTTACCTAGTAGGCAATATCAAAAATCTTGATTTAAATTTTTTAGTGTTTTATTTCTTCTTTAAATTCTATTCTTCCTCTTATATTGTCTCTAAAAATAGAAAAGGTCTAGTAAGAATTATATGAGAGACTTTTAAAAAAAACTGACTACTTAATAATGTAAGCCTTCATATATAGGTTAATATAATATAGATACCTCATAGTACCATACGAGCAGACATTGTGTATTCACTAACAAATGACTACTTAGATAGGGTTCAAGATCATGAAATTGGTATTTCTTTGTACTTAGTTTATAGTATTAGTATATTTATTAGTAAATTCTGCCAGACATGGTGGCATATGCCTGTAATCCCAGCACTTGAGAGTCTAAGGCAAGAGGATCGCTATGAATTTGAGGCTAGTCTGGTCTACATAATGAGTTCCAGGCCAGCTTAAAATATATAGCAAGACTCTGTCTCAAAAAAAAAAAGTGATTAAATTTCATTTTTAAACTGTAATACAGATTTATTCTTAAGTAGTTGTATTTTTAATATAAACTGTGTTTTTTTTTTAGATTAAACTGAGTGAAGTTGTTGGCTCAGGAAAAGATGGAAGAATACTTAAAGAAGATATTCTCAACTATTTGGAAAACCAGACAGGAGCCATATTACCTCCTTCACCAAAAGCTGAAGTTATATCACCTCCACCAAAGCCAAAAGACAGGACTGTTCCCATGTCAATATCAAAGCCTCCAGTATTCATAGGCAAAGACAAAACAGAACCTGTAACAGGTAATAAATAATATTAGTAATGTAAGGCAATGATACATGTATTCTCGGGGAAGCTACTTCAGTAGATGAATGTTTATAATATGATGTTTTCAAATCTTACTAATAAAAAGAAAGTTCAAATTCAGCATATATTTTTCTTATGGTGAAATAACAGTTTTTCCAGGAAACACTTCAGTTTATATGTACTGTTAAATTCTGTATTTTAATACATTATCAGACTTATAAATAATCACTGGATGTTTTCTAGGCTTTCAAAAAGCAATGGTCAAGACCATGTCTGCAGCTCTGAAGATACCTCACTTTGGGTATTGTGATGAGCTTGATCTTACTGAACTGCTTAAGCTACGAGAAGAATTAAAACCTATTGCTTTGGCTCGTGGAATTAAACTAACCTTCATGCCTTTTTTCATAAAGGTGAGATTTCATTCATTTCAAACAAAGGTTGAGTAGTACATTTATATCTTTTTCTACAAAGTTGCAATATGTTAACTAGATTTGAATAAAAATATTACTTCTTACCACATCATATAGTTAGAAAAATGTGCAAACCCACTATTTCTTTGTTTCTTTGGGATTTATAAAATTGAAATTTCTGTGCCATGTTTTTATCTGCTTACCTCCTTGAGCTAGGTGGGGACTGTCCTGACAGGTAACCAAAACCTTTAATTCTGAAAGGATCACTAAAAATTCCTGGTTTGTTCTAAAATGAGATTTGGTAATAAATTTGCATATCACAGATGTGTTTTTATTTTCATTCATTAATCAAATTTACACAGAGACTTTGAAACCATTATAAAATAGAATTAGACCATCAGCAGATTTTAAGCAACTTACAGTGTAGCACACATTAATGAGCATGACATAGCAGCTAACATGTGCCAGGCTCTGTAGTAAGCATACTATATATAGTATCTCTTAATTCTCAAAGTAACCCTGACATGTAAATTACTGTCCTCCCTTTCTATTTAGGGAAATTAGAGCTCAAAGAGGTTGAGATATTTGTTAGGATCACATAGCTAACAAATGAAAAGGCAAGTTTCTGGTTTTGGTCTGTTTTATTCAAAAGTGCATAATGATGTCTTCAGTTCCAGTGTGATGCTGCTCCAGCCTTCTTTATTCTGCACTAAGGCTGGTTTTCCATAATCAAATGATTGTATTACTCTTTGATTCTTTTCAATAGTTCACTTTCATTGCCTTTCAGGTAGCTTCCAAACTCCTCAGGGTGACATACAAATATTATTATGTCTGTGCTGCCTATCTCTCTACTCTTCCTTGTCTCAAGCCACTTCCTCTGAAATCACATTAAACTACAGAGTTGCTGGAATACACACTTCTACCTGAAATGCCCCATCCTCTTTTCCACCTGGAATGCACCATCCTTTCTTGATCCACCACCTACACATCCTGAATACCAAATTGTGTTCAGGTATAAACCTCCAGAGGCCTTCTGGGGCTTCACTGTTGGAGTTCAAACTCTTTTGTTTCCCATTTTCACCACTGTTTACTTGTTTGTCACTAGATACTGAACTGCATGAGAAAGAAACCACTCTTCTTTAGCAACCATTCTGAGTGGTGGTAATGTCTCCAAAGGGAAGGCAGACATTTTGACTTGAGACAAGGCAATGGAAACGAATGGGTAACATCAGCCAAATTGTATGTGAATGGGAAAGCAGCTGAGGGTTTCACAGGTGTAGGCAGTGTTGAGTTGGTAAAGACAATGAAAGAGGGTGAGTGGAGCCTGGAGGCTCTGCTGTGTCCACAGAACAGGAAAGAGTTACTTAGAAGTCAAGTAAGTGGTTTCTATTGCTATATACCTTACTACCCCAGGATTTAATGGTTTAAACAAAAGTTTCTTTTGATTCATCTGAGTTTACAGGTGAGCATGGTGCATCTGCTGAGTTTGGCCGAGTTCTCCTGTGCCTGCAGTCAGCTTGCAGGTGGACAAGGGGCTCCTGTGTGGGAAGACCTGAGTGGGTGGACCCCTTTTATCTTCCATGTGTCTCCCTCATCTCCCCAGCCTACTCGCCTAGACATAGTATCACAGCGCTGCAGGGATGAGGAGATGGAACAGAAATGCTCAATGAAGCAAGAACAAACTTGATGGAGCAGAGCCTGGAAGAAAGGGGCTCAATCTTGTGGGCACTGAAGTCAAGCCCTTTTATTGCAAGCAAACAAACTCCATCCATCAGAGTTTGTTTCTGTTTCATTGGCAAAAAAACAGGTCACATGACTGAGCTCAGTGTTTGAGAGGCACTACTAATGGGTGTGAATGCAGGGGTGTGTGTGTGCAAGAATGGGACCATTGATTCACCCTTTCAGACCCAGAGGGAAAGAATTTTCAAGAGGGGAGTAGCTAGCAGTCATATGCTTACAAAAGTTGCATAGGATAGGGATAGTAGTAGGCTAATGGATAGAAATGACAAGTCACAGTGGCCTGGGCCAGAACTGATTGAATGAGATGTTGTTGAGGTGGAAGCTTGGTTGTCATAGGTTGGAAAATGAGTAGAAGCTGAGGAAAAAGAGATGCTGAGAAAACATGGTGAAAGGCAGATGGGGTGTGTGTACTGAAGGTAGTTAAGGTGGCTATTTTTGGACAGAGGAAAGGTTTTACCCTCCCACACATCCTCAAGGAAAAGCTGAGCAGCAGATTTGTAGGCTGATGGGAAGAGCAAGAGATGGGAAGTTAAAAAATGTGTGTGAGAAGGATTGTTGGAGCAAGGCCCTGGCCTTGGGGAAGAATGACATAAAGACCCCATGGCTATGCCCAATGTGGTGGTGCACATCTGTAATCCCAGCACTTGGGAAGCTGAGGCAGAAGAAATGTCTCGAGTTCAAGGCCATCCTGGGCTACATAATGATCAAAGATCAGCCTGGAACTGCACCGCAAGAGGGTCTCAATAAATAAATAAATAAATAAATAAATAAATAAAAGACCCCCATGGGGTCTTAAGTTCGTCTTCTTTTTTTTAAGTTCTTAAAGAGCAAGAGAGCCTCACTATTACTTTGGATCAGGTTTGTCTTACTGACCTTGGTGAGGGCAAATCTATTTACATACTGAATCTCTTATTGCATTTTTCTTCATTATTGCAATTTGAATGAAATAGCTTGAAAATAAAATGTGATGTACTTGTTTTAAAATGACATGAGTTTCAGAACATTTGAAAGTACAATACTACCAAAGTATTTGACTTTGTGGGTTTGAATTCATTCTACCACTTCAGTTATCTGTTTGTGTCTGGATTATTTTAATTAAAGCACAGTATAATAGAACTTTATTGTCCATGATGACTTCCAATTTTATGTTTATCTATTGCCTTACTTTACACCAGCTAGTCATATTGCATACGGGCAAAAACTGATACAGAATATTATGATGTCATATTTCCTTCTTGATCTCTTTTTTTAAAAACCTTAATGTTATATTAATTTTCAAACCAAGAGTGCCATATTGTAATTACATCATTTAAAAATGTGTTTATTTTCAAGAGTACAGATTTGATTTAGAAAAAAAGGAAAAAGAATATTTAGAAAAAAAAAGAATATTCTTTTTTATGTGATATATGGGCACATAGCTTGTATTTCCTTTTATAAAATTTAGATATACTCAAAGAACTGTTTTTATGTGTAACACTTTAGATTAACCTTAGTTATGGCTTTTTACATAAAGAAGATTAAAATTACAATTATCAAGTCAAATGCTTCCTGAAACTCTCAATTCATAAGGACTAAGAAATTTATAGCAAATCTTTTTGTTATATTTGAATTTCATCGAGCTACTTCCTTAACCTATCCTAACTCAACCAATAACTATGAAAACTCTATATATTTGAACTCCTCTATTAACTCTCTAATTCAAAGTTGTTGTTTTTTTCCTGTCAAGACCAGTAACCCACAGACTGAAATAACACAACATAATGAGAGAAAAGACAAGGGAATGGAGGGAGGGAATTCTTGTTAAGAACAATTCTAAGCATTTTTATTTTGCTATCTTTTAAATTTAATGTAAAACATGGCCACCAAATGCAGTATGTGCTTTTGAGTATTAGTTTCTGGGTAGGCAGAGAAACATTTAAGTATCAAGAATATTTTGGGTACAAGTAGGGAAATATGAATTTAGACAAGGAAGGAGTCATCTTAAGAGACAAAAGAAAAAAAGAAGAGATGAGATTAAGGGGGAAGGCAGAATAGAGGAAAGACATATGATTCAGTAAGACTTGGGCTCTAATGTAAATATTGGAACCAGCTCTGACCTTCACTTGGCCAAGGACACCAGGTAGAACACTTGGCCCCTGTAGTCAGTGCATTTTGAAATCCTTATCACCTGTTCTTTCTACACAGGGAAATATTTTTTTCTACTTGTTTGCATTTTGATTTTTTTGCATTTTGTATTTTTGAGCTACTGGTTTGCTTCTCATAGAATATTTAAGAAGCTACATGAAAGTGAAGAAGTTAGCACTGAGATATTTTCTTTGGAACTTTGTTCAGCCTGTATAATTATTTTGAAAATATCCTTGATGTTTACAAACTATCTACTGTATCTTTTTATTTTTTCTTTTTGGGGAATACTGGTGATTGAACCAAAGGAGTAATGAGCTACACCCCCAGCTTTTTTTATTTTGAGATAGGTTCTAGTTAAATTGCCCAGGCTGGCTTTGAACTTGCAATCCTCCTGCCGCAGATACCTGAGTAGCTGGGACTACCATGCCCAGCTATTTTTTATTCTTAAATGACTAGGGTGATCTACTTTACATTGATTGGAGATAACATGGAAATATGTAATATGCCTTAATATATGTAGACTTGAAATTAAAACTCAACATAAATAAGAGCTCTGTCTCTCTCCTTTTATATCTCTCATTGCTTTCAATCTGCTAGTTTTTCAGAGTTAAAAGTGCTAATGTTATATTCTCTTTTTGTTAAAACAGGCTGCTTCTTTGGGATTACTACAGTTTCCAATCCTCAATTCTTCAGTGGATGAAAACTGCCAGACTATAACATACAAGGTTGGCTATGCATTGTAAAAATATTCATTATAAGTAAAAGATTGTACAAATGTGCTTGTAGGTTAGAGAGACTTCTATCATACCTCAAGTAGTGATCCTTTTAAAGGCTAGATTTAAAAGTATAAAATGCTAAATTTGGGGATACACTAAGCCCTGGATTTTACTCCTACTATCACACAAAAAATAAGTATAATTTGTTATTCTTGTTTTTACTAGTTAATAATGATACTATTTCAATTTGTAAATTGCCATAGAAGTCATTTATGATAAACCTACTGCCAAAATCATATTAAATGGGGAAAAACTGAAAGCTTTCCTTCTGAAATCAGGAACAAAACAAAGATATCCACTATCCTATTCAACATAGTCCTCAAAACATTAGCCAAAGCAATCAGACAAGAGAAAGAAATAAAAGGAATACATATATATAGGAAAGGACAAAATATCATTATTTGCAAGACCATCCAAAACAAACTCCATGAAGACTCCTAGAATTACAGTTAATAACAACATTTAGCAATATAGCCGGATAGAAAATCAACACACAGACTTCCCACGACCACGACAGTGACCCACTTAGCCCGCAGGAGAGAGAGGTCCCGGGCGGCCAGGAGCCCTGCTCCGTCCAACCCATGCCATGTCCACCGGTGACCAGACAGAAGGTGAGGACCCTTCGCCACTTGCCACGCCTACAGCAGCGACCAGCTTAGATGCCCTGGTGCCTGCGGCCCCACCCCCACCCCCATGTGCCTCTGGCCTCCTGGCTGTGCCACTACCTGGTTCCACACTACAAAGGCACAGGGACCACCAGACCACTATACTTGGTAAGTTGGAGGGATCATCACCTCTCATCAGAACCTGGACTATCTTCAGGGAAAGGCAGCTGGAACCTGCAGTACAACCTTGCAGAGTTCAACTCTGCAGGAGGACAGGAAGCTCAACTTGGACTTGCAGCCAGAAATCTGCCTGAATCCCACGGGTCTGCAACTGGCTTGCTGAGTGAGACTCACTGATTTATATCTGCACACTGCTGCCCACGTTGTCTATTGTGACAGCAGAGACATACCCTAAAGGAGGCCCTTCATTTTCATTTTTATTTTTTATTTATTTTCAAAATTATTATTATTTTTTTACTCTTATTTTTAATTTTTTTCCTTCTGTTCAAATTTTTATTTTTCTCTTCACTTTTTTCTTTCTTTGCTTTTTCCTTTCTCTCTCTCTCACACTCACTCTCTTGCTGTCCCACATTGTTCTTCATTTCCCGTTTTGTTCCTCTCCTGCCCCTAATTCGGATTTCTTCTTTTTTTTTCTTTTCTACTCTTTTTCCTTCTCTTACATGTGTCCTCTGGCCTCACTGCTAACCTTCCCTTAATATTATACCTATCTATCCCTCCCTCCCTAATTCCTTCTAACTCCCCACCCCGAAGGGTAAACTTGCTATATTGAAGAGTTTATTCACTATAAACATATGTTGGATTTGTCCTCAATTTTTATTTAATTCACACAGTAAAGGTGATAGATTAATAACTACCACAAATTGTCATTTTCTAAGATGTACTTGATGCTATGGTGTTGCTGATTGTATCACTTGGGCTAAGATGCTGTGATTGATCTAATCAGTTGTCCCTGGTATAAAGGAAATGAGACAGCCTCAGAGTCATCAGAGACTCAAAACCTAAAGATCAGCTATATCTGGAAGACACCTCTGAGAAGCAATCATTCCATAAGAGTTCTAAATACAAGCAAAAAAGATACTTAAAATAAGTAATTTTGAAGTATCAACCCAGGAATTAAACCAAGGACAGTACCAAAAACAAAAATGAGAAGAAATTTAAGCATGGCACAGACTCAGACTTCCTCCCCACCAAGGGTAAATTCTGGGGGAAATGAGGTGGAAAAGTCTGATAATCAACCACCTGGACACCCTGAACTGATAGCACAGGAAGTAACAAAACAGATGAATGAGTCCCTAGAAAAATTCAAAACAAAAA